CTAACGGTGGAAAACCAGCATTGCAAAGATCTCAGTGCAAACACTTTATAAGAAGCCTGGAGAGGATTATGGCTGTAAGGAGTTGGAGAAAAGAAATTCTACTTCTGACTAGATATTCTCTTTCTGAGCTGGAAGAATGCTTTGTAAAAACACCTACTAATTCACATTTCCTTATAAAGGCATGGTAAAGAAAGAAAAATATGTTTTCTCATTCCCTTGTTAGCAAATAAAAGGACTCTTAAATCCTTTACAATCCAGAACATGCAAACATGAGCAATTGCAACATCTTCCAAGGCCATACTTATCTCAGGAACAGGACTCATAAAACCAGAAAAGGAATGAGTTAGGATGGCAGAGACAACACCTCATCAATATTTACTTTCTCCACAAGCCCCAAAATACTAGAAGAAATGGACAAAAGGACAGAGAGACACAGAAAAACACAAGGACAGGGGCAAAAGACAATTAAAAAATTGGAATCTGGAAAAATGATGGACATAGTAACACTCGGAGGACTTAAAGTGACATCAAAATCCACTTCCCAGGCAGACAGGAGGGAGAACGGAGACCATCCAGATCGACACTGCAGAGCCCTTCAAAGTCATAGGAACCCCTGGAGCAGTATGTACCTCTGGAACTGAGACGGGGTACATGAGGAGGGGAACAGGCTGCTGAAATATGGTGGATCAGGGTGCAAGCTTCCCTGATTGCCTCCCTTACTCCATGCTCTCTGGGTGATTGGCCTTCCCCAACTCTAGCATGTCTACCCTCCAGAAAGGCTAAAAGAGGAGGTCTGTGCAGGAGCCAACACAAGGCACAGCCAAAGGTGTGTGTAGGTAGATAGAGATATGTACACACGTAGGGTTGCTTCTCAGTATTTGTGGTAGTTACATTCCATAAAGTCTCTGTGAGCCCCAAGTGAGCAAACACTGGGCTTATTATTTGGAGGGGAAATGCAGGGTTAGATTTCTGTGAGCCTCTGGTCAGAAACTGTTATCAATCTATCAATGCATACCTTGTTTTATGTATTTCTGTTTAAAGAGACCTTATTTAAATAAATATTGTTGATTCAATAACACTGAACTCATGGCCAACACCATAACTCATGCCTGAATGAAGTTTACCTAACAGACGTGTTTTCTCCGTAAGGCACATCAGAGCCTTCCTGTGCTTAGACGCATGAGATAACACTTCAACACAACGCTTGGGAGCCATTTTAAACAGTGAAATCACCAAGAGAGCAAAAACATGACAAATGTGACACCCAATAGGCCGTGAAAAGGACACTTGTGTACAGTATGAGCTGAAACCAGGCTTGTTCTACTTTAGCTGGGAACACGCAAGTCAGGCGGCTCAGCCTTTGAACTGCTGCATGCATGTCTGAATGACCGCGAAAGCGCCCCAAGTATTGATTTTAGGGTTACAAACGTGAGCAAGTAGGCAAATTTGCAAATAGGGGCTCCGTGATTAATGAGGATTAACTGTGTATGTATTTGTTTGTGCATATACATACACACACATATGTATATATATAATCTAGTGATGAATCTCATGAATAGTGATGCTCGGAGCAGTGAATACCCCAAACACACCTTCCTCTACTTGGCTCACAGAACTTTGCCTGCTAGTCCCTTACTCCCAAGACACAGCACAAACTTCCCTGGGAATATAACTATTCCATGAGGAAGGAGCAAAGATGCTGACACTGGGAAGAGTCCCAAAGAGCTCATCCAGATCAGTCCACAATAACGCTCGAAGTCACCAAATGCTACTCATCCACTTAGAGCTCCCAGTGTTTTCTTCCTCTAATCCTAATCATGGACAGACAGACAGACACGACTTGCCAAAGATCTGCAGAAAGTCTCTAGCACCTAAGCCCAAAACAAACAAAAAACAATTTAAAGAAAAATTAAAGCTCTTGGAAGTTAAAAGACTTATAGAAGACATGGAAAACTCAATAGAAGGTTGGGAGATAAAATTAGGGAAATCTCCTAGAAAGTAAAGTAAAATGACATGGAAATGGGAGAGAAACATAAGCCAGTACCTGTCTGGGTCTTACTCTAAATAACAGGGATTCAAAAGAGAAAATGAGAAAACACAGGGAAGGAAATAAAAATAATTTTTAACCATTTCCAGAAGTGAAAGGACACGAGTCCCCTGATTTAAAGGATGAAAATAGACCCATAGCAGTAAACAGCAGTGTAAAAGTTTAGAACATTGGAGACTAGAAATTCCACTGACTTAGAGAAAAGAAACAGTTACATACAAAGTGTCAGGGATTAGAATGGCTTCAGGTTCCAAACAGTAAAAATAAAAATAAATAGGACAAATACTTTAAACTTCTGAGGGAAAATAATCTATAGCCAAGAATTTATACCCAGCCAAACCATCAATCAAATATGTAGGTAGAATAAATACATTTCCAGACGTGCAAGGATTCAAAGTTTACGTCCCGTGTACCCTGACTCAAGAATTACTGGAGGATGTGCTCCCCAAGGTGAGCTAGCAGGCAATTCAACACAGGAGGAAGAGGGAACTCGCAGGAAAGCAGTTAGGCATAGAACTAGAGAACCACCAGCCCAGGGTGGAGGAGTGTGACTCAAGACACCACCATGTTGAAGACGGTCATGGCCAAGATATTAACCGTCTTTGTAATCTGAGAACAGTTATGTCCTAGTATAGCTGGCTCCCACTGTCTGAGCATGTCCCAATGAAATGCCTGCTTTTCCCTTCATATTCTGATGTCTAGATTAGCTGAGGATGCTCACGTCACTTCATGGGAAGGTTCTACATTGATCTCTTGAGATGGAGGAAGGTGAGTTTTCAAGCAGAAAATATAAAATAAGCACACAACCTTTAAGGACATTTCTACAGGAGATCCAGGATGCTCCAACTGCAGTGACCTACGCCCCCAGGACTCACTCATCACATGGCTCACTGACATCTCCACACGTGACTCTTGTAAACTAGAAGCTGAAATCAGACTCAGAGACTATTTAGCCCATCTTCTCAAGGATGTCTTCATCAAGTGGTGGCAAATATTGCCTTCACAGAGCTATACTTACACTTCTCAGTTGTTCAAAACTAAACAAAATACTATGTTTAGGGATACCACACAGGTGATGAAATCTATACAGTACATGAGGAGCGTGCAAGGATGGACCAACTGATGGCCTATATGTTCTATTTCTTAACTTGAATAATATGTGTTTATTATAAATTTTCCTGTAAGTCTCACAATTAAAATGTGAAGCCATTGTAATTTTTACCTTCTCCTGCGTTAACTGGAACAAACAAGCTGGACAAAACATACTAATATCAACACACAGGAAGAAGCAATATTGAAGTATTGATAATGTAAACAGTCAAGATACCAAGACACTCAAATTCTGTCCTTCACCTGAGGTGATTTGATGACATCACAATGGATGTGTGGATACAATATACCACAGGTCATATACACAAATGTAATTGTTTTTGATAGTTTGATTTGTAACATAGCAGTCCTAAAATAACTGAAAACAGAGATTTTATAACACTCATAAACAAAATAGGCCCTTAAAATAAAGCGGGAAAATTCTTCATGATTTTCCCCCCTACCTGGGATACCTTAGGCATTCTTTCTCCTTGCTAGTATTAAGGGTGCTTCCCATTGTTCCCATCAAGTTTAAGCAATTCTTTTCTGAAGTGTCTTTCCCAACTATCCATTCATTTATATACTACACTAGTGACCATTTACCAAAAGCCAGGCACTGTTCTAGACCCTGGGGATAAAGTGGTAAACAAACGCTCTGCCCTCAGCTTTATCGAGGGGAGTGAAAAATATCTCAGATGCCAATAAGTGCTATGGACATGAAGCAGGGAAGGAATATAAAGAATACCAGGGAGGCCCCGGCTATGTGGGTCAGTTGTTTGGAGTGTCATCCCGTATACCATGAAGGTTGGGAGTTTGATACCCAGCTGGGGCATGTATGGGAGGCACATCAATGTTTCTGTCTCCCTCTTCCTTTCTCTCTCAAATCAATAAACATATCCTCAGATTAGGATTTAAAAACGGGGGAGGGAGGATGTATTTTTAAATACATGGTCAGAGAAAGTTTATGGGAAGGTGATAATTGAGCAAAGCCTTGAAAAAGGTTTATCTGCAGTAAGAGCACTTCAAGGGGAACAGCAAGTATCCAGATTTTCATTTCAAGTGGTACTTTATCAGGGACCTGGCGTTGCTAGTTGTATTTTGCTGCACACACCCTGCCTCCTTAGATGATGTGGTCCTTGAAGGCAAATCTCCCTTTATCGCTTTGGACTCCCAACACTTAGCATGGAGCTTATGTTAAGTCCCCAACCACTGTTTACAGATGACTCAAATCACAAATATCCCAAAATATTAGGAAATAATTCAAAATATTGTTTAAGAATTTGTTCCCCAGGATAAAATTCAGATCTTTAAATGTGGAGGATAATTCACACAAATCACACTATATTTCACCAAGACTTGTGGCTTACAGTCACATTCTCTAAATTGCAAAATATGTGATGTGCTGACTTAAACTCTTCGGGTAAGTACAGTGAAATTAGAAACTCGTAAGATGGAATTTGAATAGCACCAAGTCGAAGTAACATTCCATGTCCATAAGATTCTTGCTGGTTTTGAGAACTTTCTATTGAGATATCTACCAAAATAAATGTCCAATTCTTTTAGGATTTAATACATTCCAAATACTATCACAATCATCTGACCCTTTGCTTCTTCAGGTTGGCATTTAGATATACACTTTCCAGCATTCTACTTTTGTAATGACAAGCTCTTCAGTGATGTTTTTTGTATCAATGCTGGTAGGTTACCTAATGCTATTGTTTTCCAAACTCTTTTAAAACTCCTACAATAATTATTCAGATTGAAAACTGGCAATAGAGAACAAAATAAGACCAACTTTGGAAAAGCCATTATCAAATGAATTACAAAGACACTTGCTAATAACGTAAGATTAAATGCAGCTCACCTGCTAAAAATGGTTCTGTAGTAGACATTCTGTTCCCAACTCAGATCAACAGTGTTCACAGATTTCCTTTCCAGAACAGTCCAGATAACCCATTAGTCATGGACACATAAATAAGGGTCACTAACAACAGGTCTATTGCAAGGAGGTCACAGTTTACCAAATAATTAACAATTGTGATGGTGTCATTGCTTTAACCTTGAAAATGCTTAAAGAAATAAAAAACAAAAAACCAACTCATCAAAAAGCTGAGTTTTGAATTATGTATTTTAATCAAGTATAAATGGTTCCAAGCATTAAATAATGGTTGAAAGACAAACTTTCCTAGTTTAAACTGAGTATTTCCGATTTTGAGCCAGGTACTCACTGAAGCCAAGGAAGTTTGGTTGATCACTTCTTCTGTTTCCTGTCTTCACTGTCCCTGAATTCAAAAGCAAGTCATCCAGTAATTGCGTCCCAACCACCTTAACACTCAGCTTTACCATCCTTTTGAAATAACCTTTGCACTAGTGTCCTACCAGTGGAACCTTCTTAGAAAAACTTCTTCCCACTCAGCATTTCAAAATTAGTCTAAACAGGCCCCTTTTTTACATACAGCAAATTAAACCACTTTTCTGAAAAGGAGTGGAGATGTTTCAAAGAAATAGTTGAGAACAACTGCAAAAGGCAACTGGGACAACCATACAAATAAATGAAGAACACACCAATTACATTTAAATTATGAAGACTTTTTTCTTTAATTTATCCACAGTTCACATTCATGAAGTCATTTATTTTAGAGCAAGTCTAAAATCATATTAAATGTAAAAATATTACAGTATTTACAACCTTGCTGGTATAAATACAGCTACTGTCCTGTTTTCTTCTCAATACCTGCCAGTAGCAATGGCAGATCAGTCCTGTCGCTTTGAAGACCCTCGTTCACTGCGGACCGCTGCGGCGAGCGCGCCTTATCCCCAGTGTTCTATGTCACAGCTTCAGACCCTCAACATTCTTCTTTAGGTTCAGCAGCTCCTTTTCCTGCCTTCTCTTCTCCAGTTTGAAGGCTAATTTGTTAGCTTTCTTCTCCACTCTCCGTTCCTGTACAAGAATACATTCATGTTATTCAAATCTTCAAACCGATGCAGACTAATTTTAATTTTACAACAGAAATTCCCACGACTGCCCTGCCGCCAGCTCTCTGTAAATCCCCCATCCGAGAACGGGCCCTCACCTTGCGCTCTTCTCTTATAGCTTGCTTTCTTGCTCTTTTATCTTCTTTGCTTTCATTTTTAGAGCGTGGCTGGGCTGACACCTTGGGTAAATCACTACCATTAATCATCTGCATTCGTTCAACTTGCTTTGCTGTGAACCCTTTCTGAGGTAAGACATGGAGAGGTATTCCTGTCTTAGAAGATATTCGAATTTGTTTGGGCTGAAATAAAGATAAAATGGCATTAGGGTTACTTCCCATTCTGATTAAAGAATAGCTCATTCATAACACATTGCTGTCACTTTATCCACTAGCGATAAAGCCACTGAGAGAAAATAATCTGCACACGTCCTTCCCCGCACTGCATATTTCAAAAAGCTTGGGACATTAGGACTTACCTTTGGTTCATACTTGATAATTTGTGGATGGTTATATAAATTTGAGTATGTACCTTAAAAAAAAAGGTCATGTATTAATAAGTACACTTTCAGTTTAGCAAAACATTAGAGTTCCTACTACGTTTCCAGCTTTGGCGTTTTCATAGTTAAAATTAACACTGTAGTTTCTCTTATAAATGTTTTGATGTGCCCTGGCCGGTTTGGCTCAGCGGTTGGAGCGTCGGCCTGCGGTCCTGAGAGACCCAGGTTCGGTTCCCGCTAAGGGCGCGTACCTCGGTTGCAGTTTGTCCCCGGCCCTGGTCGGTTGTGTGGGTGGCGGCTGCTCGATGTGTCCCTTTCACGTCGATGTTTCTCTCTCTCTCTCTCTCTGTTCCTCTCTCTCCCTCCCACTCTACCTGAACAAAAGATGGAAGGGTGTCCTCGGGTGAGGATAAAAAAAAAAAAAAAAAATGTTTTGATGTTTTTTATAACTTAGAAGTATTTCTTTTTCCCAATTATTTTCACAAAATATAAACTTTTTCAAAAGTTGATGCACTTATCCTTAATGGCAGTCAAGTGGACCTCAGGTACTCACTACAAATGGATTCACAATCCCACTTCTCTTTGACTTCTTCAAGAGCCACAGTCACGGTCTCTTCCTCCTCAGACCCATCAAGTTCATTCGCTGGCAGGTCCTGATCCTCGAAGGGTTCAAGAGTACTCAGTTTTACACAACTTTTGGTTAAGTTTTCAAAAATGAAGATAGGAGGAGAAAAAAAAGGAACACCACCTATGTTACTGTATGTTGCTGAACATGCACTTAAAAAGTTATGAAAACAACAGCATTTGTTAAATCCACATACTCAGGTGTCCTGTTTGTTATTTCCTGTCACAATTAGCTTTATCTACCCTGCCTCTCATTTCCAGCAGGTTCTGGACGTTCATTTTGCTGACAGAAAGGAAAAACCCGTCTGCATCTTTGCAAGGATATAACACATTAAACAAAATAGCAGCTTTTCAAAACAATCTTTTTTTAAAGCCTCGAAAAGCATGAGCCCATCTGTCTCTAAAGTATTCAGATAATTCACCCCAAGCATGCTGCTCTGACCCTGCTGCAGGGTCTGCGCATGACAGTGATCACGAACATCAGACCTTTCCAGCAGATGAAACACCTCATTAGCTTCTCTCAGAAACCACCTAATGTGGATGCTGATGAACCAAGTATTTGGCTGGAAAGTTCTACTAATCCGAGGGGAGAGATAACCTCTTATCTTTCTATAAGCCACAAATATCTACTTCACAGAACGCCTGGCATTTCAGGAGGATTAAGAATGTATATACTTAGAAGTCAAATAATTCTTCAGCCAAAGAGGCTAGAAGCACCATCTCATTCTCATTCTCAAGTGGAATGTGACCTTGCACTTCCCCCTTTAACCTCGATTACTGATCATTCTCTTAAGACAAATTACAGAGAAAGTGGTTTTCAGTATGTTACCACCCACTGTTATGTTCAGCTTCAGAACTCTTCCTACCAAAATGTGAGCCAAAGGTTATGGAAAATGTACCATCTTCCTAATATGGATTCTGACTGGGTGATTTATGATTCACATGTACCATTACTTTATTTGAAAATTTAAAACAAAAACAAAAACAGGTAAACATGAAAGTCACCATACTTCTCTGCTTTCTCTTTATAGTAGTCATTCAAAACTTCCTCTAAGCGACTGCTGTCTACTTGAATGGAACCTTCCAGTTCTGCATTATCCAGAGCTCCAATTTCATCATCATCATATTGCTCATAAAACTTGAATATAAAGAGATATCATGAAAATGGGTGTATTCAGGAAAAACACAGCATTTAAATGTTATTTTTACAGTAATTTTACTCCTACAGAATGTAAGCACTACCATGAGATCACAATGACCATTAAAGATCAGCAGGATGCTGCACCATAAGAGTATGATGTGGAAGACATTCCACCCAGCACGTAAAGACGGCCAATAGGCTGCCATTTAATCTGACAATGAAGACAGTTATCCCATTCAGCTTAGAGAGCAAACTACTGGGCAGAAATCTTTACCTCAGAATATTTTAGATACTTGCAAATTCATTAATTATGCAAACTAATCTACCAATTTCATTTCTTTCTTTAGATGATGTCTACTGTATTATTCAAATGTTGTTCACAATACCAGAAGTGATCTAACTCCTGAAGTGAGGTTATCTGTAGTGACAGCTGGCCTGTTTCTTTGCGAGAAGAGAGAAACTAGTATTTAGTGAGATGCAGCAAAGCCAGAATCTCCATCTTAGGAAGCCATCCATCCATCCATCTATTCCTCCATCCATCAATCACAGTTCATAGTTTAAACTCCTACCACACACCAGATACCACTTCAGGCTTTGGGATTTATCAGTGAGCAAAAACACACTAAAAAAAAGGAATTTTGTTTATGCTCAGTTCAGTGCTTGAGGAAATAGCATAATCTTAGGAATTCTGACTAAAGTGGTTTGGAATCAAAATATCACCATTCTAACAGCAAAGTCAGGAGGTTTGGTAAGCTATGATAAGCTATCTTCTGACCTATATGCATTCTTCCCTGAACTAAAATTAGGGTCGTTTTATGGTCTATTTTAATAAAAGTTACAGCCTGTTTCTATTGCTGAGAGTTCTGGCTTGAGGCTCCAATGTCATATATAATTTTCTAGGAACCAGTACTCAAAGGCCCTGAACTGGGGACCTTACCTTCTCAAATCTTTCATCATGTAGGGTCAGCTGCTCATTTCTCCTCATGACTGAGGATGTCATAGAATACTCAGTAAAGCGACTTTTCGTTTCCTCTTCCCAAAACAAGAGGTTTTCTAGAGCCCCCGGAGGCTTCCCGGGGGCAGACACAGCCTCGTCTGAGAACGAGCCTGTAGAGTCATAGTCATTGTCATCACTGCCCCCTTCCTTCTCGTCGACCACGTCTTCCCATTCACTGCCGTCTTCAGCCTCAGATTTCCTAAAATCAGAGTCATAAATTAACTGTAAAACAACTTGAAAAACAACAGAACCAAATGACTTTACACAGTAAAATCTGAGGGTTTCAGGGAGGATTCTTGTTTAGGCAGAACAGCTGTGCTGCTTGATCTGCCTGGCATGGGAAAATAGTAAACTAGCAACCAGGCAACTTGGACTTTAGCCCCACCTGCTGATGGCTTGTAAAGAGCTCAAGTCTCACCTGTCTGCTGAAATACGGAATTCTCAGACTAAAGTCCTGAAGGTCTCTTTCAGCTGTAATGTTCTACGGTTATTATCCTATTAAAGCAGTCATCTTGCTTTGAAACAAACCACACATACCATACATCCACTCCCTCTTCCTCTTCTGTTGGCTTATTGGCCTGAAAAATAAAATCATCTTCAAGCAGATTAGCAGGATTATCGAAGTCAAAATCATCATCAAGAGCTGCTACAATGTCAGGATCAAAATCCAGCCGAGGCCCTAGATGAAAAACAAAAATTGAGTAATAATTCCCAAGAAAGCATCATTCCTTTATTTATCATACTGTATCTATAATATGCCAGAGCATAAAAGAATAACTAAAAACTCTAAGAAATTCAATTTAGTGAGAGAAATAGAGATGGATGACTGCAAGAAAATAAAAAAGGGGCGGGGGGAACCTTCCATTACAGATCTACATTAAACTATTAAGCAAAATTCAAAGCTATGATCTGCAGGAAGAAAACTGGACTTTAAATTCACCTGTTAGAAATAACTCTCACCTGTTGGAAGTCACTGAAATTGAGTATTTGTGGCCCATTAAACCTAGTCTTTTCACACTGAGATTTTAGTAAATCCCAACCTGTTTCTTCAGCTATGTTCTTCTATAAGTAAAAATACTACAGAGTTCAATAAAAAGTTTCAAGTCCAAACCTGTAAACTGACATGGCTTCTAATACCCCTCACAACACAGCTACTGCTCGGTCCTCCAGCTTCTAATCATAGGAGTCCCAATCCAAACGTGTGTGGTTTCCTCCATCCTTGTGGTCCTACTTTTGCACACAGAGCTTCCTCATCTGGAATATCCTTTCCTCCTTACCACACCCTCCTCCATCTACGGGCGTAACTTAGACCTAAGAAATCAGTTTAGATATTATTTCCTCTAGGATGCCTCGCCCACTTCCCCAGGCTTGTTTGGTGCTTCACCATTTACTCATTTGCAACTATAATTGGAATTACCATTTATCACCTATCTTTCCCAAACGATAATAAATTCCTTGTGGTTAGGGGTTATGCTTTATTCTGGTTTAACCCAAGACCCTGTAAAATAGCAGCAACTCAAAAACCTGTAGAATGAATTACTAAATGAATGCTACATGACAAGTTTACAATAAGGTTCAGGGGACTGGGTGAAAGATGGGAGGGACGTTGAGGGACTGGGTGAAAAAGGTAAAGGATCAAGAAGTACAAACTGGCCCTGGCCGGTTTGGCTCAGCGGTTAGAGCGTTGGCCTGCAGTCCAGAGAGACCGGGGTTTGGTTCCCACTAAGGGCGCGTACCTCGGTTGCAGTTTGGCCCTGGCCCTGGTTGGTCGTGCGGGTGGCAGCCACTCAATGTGTCCCTTTCACGTCAATGTTTCTCTCTCTCTCTTCCTCTCTCTCCCTCCCACTCTATCTGAACAAAAAATTGAAAAATGTCCTCGGGTGAGGATGAAAAAAAAAAAAAAGTGGTACAAACTGGTAGTTACAAAACAGTCACACCGAGATGTAAAGTACAGCATAGGAAACACAGTCAATACTGTCATAGCCTATGTATGGTGTCAGATGGGTAATCAGGGATTACCCAGATTTATCAGGGTAATCACTCAGTAAGTTATATAATGCCCAATCACTAGGTTATACACCTGAAACTAATACTGTATGTCAATTGCAATGGAAAAATAAAAAAATACTTCAAGTAAAAAAAGTTCTCAGCACAAGAAAAAATTCTGTAACTATGCGTTGTGATGATGTTAATTAGATTTGTTGCGGTAATCGTTCCACAGTATTTACAAATATTGAATTATTATGTTGTTTGTATACCTGAAACTGCTATGTTGTACGTCGTTTTTCTTTTATTCCTCACCTGAGGATATTTTTCTATTTATCATTAGCTAGAGAGGGAGGGAGGGAGAGAGAGGGAGAGGGGGAGAGAGGGAGAGAGGGAGAGAGAGAGAGAGAGAGAGAGAGAGAGAGAGACAGACAGACAGACATCAATGTGATAGAGCCACATCAGCTGGCTTCCTCGTGCATGACCCGCCCAGGGCCAGGTCGAACCGCAACCGAGGTATGTGCCCTTGACCAGAATTGAACCCGTGACTCATTGGTCTGTTGGCTGACACTCTAACTGCTGAGCCAAACCAGTCAGGGCTTTTGTATGTCATTTATATCTCAATAAAAACTATTAAAGTATTAAAAAAAAAATTAAGGCAAGTTAGGTGAGAATGGGACTTCTATATAAAATACTTCCATACTCTTGGGAGAACCTTTTATTTTTTTAAATCCTCACCCAAGGATATGTTTATTGATTTGAGAGTGAGAGAAACATCAATGTGAGAAACTGTGATCGGCTGCCTCTCGTACACACCCCGACCAGGGATTGAACCCACAACCTTTTTTGGTGTATGGGACTAAGCTCCAAACGAGTGACCCGGCCAGGGCTTGGGAGACCTTTAGAACGCTAACGTATTAAGTATTTTCAACATTACATTATAGTATGTAAAGCTAACGAATTATTAGTTTCCTTTGTAAGAGGTTAGGTCAAGGTTAAAACAACCCACTATATCACCAAAAATAATTTTCCCACTTTCCTCTCTAAACAGAAACTTCAAGCACTAAGAATATAATGGCAATAAAAGAATACTGATCACACTAATCTCTTCCCAAAGATCTCTCATCTGAATTCAGAACAGATCTCAATTGTTTAAACATTTTATCAGAAACAGAAAATCCCTGTATTATTACTATACGTAAGTTTCTTTTTTAAAAAAACACAGCTCCATCCACTCGAAAGGGTAAAGAAATTAAACACACCTGAAACAGGAGCTGCTTTATTTAACAATCCAACATCTTCTTCAAACTCTGATGCAAACACTGATGAAGGCAACTTAATTCCTGCGGTCTTGAAAAAAGAAATTACACAATGGTTAGGTTTATTCAGCAACACTTCTGAAACTACTATACGGAGTTGAAAAGTGTTCTCCCAAAATTCACGTCCACCCAGCTCAGAATGTGACCTTACTTGCAGATGTAATCAGTTAAGAGAGGTGATAATGGAGTATGGTGGGCCCTAACCCATGGCTGGTATGTCCTTACAAGGCTGTATGAACACAGGACACACAGGGGAGAACACCATGTGCAGATGGAGAAGACTGGATGATGTATCCACAAGCCAAGGAACACCAGGGACTGCCAGGAACCACCAGAAGCTAGAAGACAGTCATGGAACGGATTCTTCCTGAGCTCCCAAGAAGAAACCAACCCTGATGAAAGCTTGATTTCAGACTTCTGGCCTCTACAACTGTGAGAGTAAATTTCTGTTGTCTTAAGCCACCCAGTGGTAATCTGTTATGACAGTCCAAGGAAACTAATATAAGCACATTCTGAATTTTCTCACCTGTGAGCCAGTTATATATTTTAAACATGTATAGTCCACCATCAGCTCAAAAGCAGCTTCCCTGAAATATTCACAAAGCTTTCTCCAATATATTATTCCATTTAATCCTCACAAACCCTTGAGGAATCAGCATGTTTCGGTGAAACAAAAGCTGATGGCATGCCTGCTTGAACTGAAACTGTTTCGGTGAAGTTCCGGGATCCACAATACTATCTCATGTCTCTTTCTTCTGATGGGAACTTTCCTTCCTCTCGCCAGTGGAACCCACCCAATAGTGGCCGGCTCAGCTCCTCCTACCTCCACGAAGTTCTTGACTGCTGTCCTAGAACTTTCCCTGTGCGAACTCCCCTCTCTTCACACCCCACACAATCTACTTCAGTATGTGCTAGCCCTTATCTGTTGACCAGCCCTTATGCTTAGCTTCACCTTAGTTAATAATGTGAGGGTCACCACATTACCTGCCTGTGTTCCTCACCATCCACTCTGTCCTCATCTGAGTAGCAGGCATGAAGCCGAGATGTACATTCTACTGGCTCCCAGACAGCATGCTACACTGGAAGGCTCCGAGGGCATGAATAAAGGCTACACACAGTACTGCGTACCTAGCAAGCTGTTAGAGCTTCCAAAATGAGTTCCTCTGTGACATAAATATGAGCAAAGATCCGGTTTCCTGCTGTAGAATCCTTTTTATTTTATTTTAAAATTGATTTTAGAGAGAGAAAGAAACACCTATTTGTTGTCCCACTACTTATGCATTCACTGGTTGGCTGTCGCACATGTTCTGACTGGAGATCAAACCCCGCAACCTTGGTGCATCAGGACGATGCTCTAACCAGCTGAGATCCTTGGCCAGGGCTGTCCAGTCCTTTTTTATTTTTATTTTATTTATTTATTTATTTATTTTATCCTCATTCGAGGACATTTTTCCATTTTTTTGTATAGACAGAGTGGGAGGGAGAGAGAGGAAGAGAGAGAGAGAGGGAAACATCGATGTGAAAGGGACACATCGAGTGGCTGCCACCCGCATGACCAACCAGGGCCGGGACAAACTGCAACCGAGGTACATGCCCTTAGCGGGAACCGAACCCGGGTCTCTCCGGACCGCAGGCAGACGCTCTAACCGCTGAGCCAAACCGGCCAGGGCTGTCCAGTCCTTTTTTAAAAAAAACAAACAGAATGACCAGATATCATTCACATACCATACAATTCACCCATTTAAAGTGCACAATGTAGTAACTGTTTTTGTATATTACATTTAAAAAAAAATTGTGGTAAAATATTTATGTGAACCTTTAAAAAGATATTTTGTGATTTTGAATCCTTGGAATTTAGAGGTTAAAAAAAGGGGAGGGTCACCTTGTTTTTAGTGAATTGGCCTTTAAAGATGTTTCCAAATCTTGAGAAACAGTCAAAGAATCATATACACAATTAGAGTTTAGATATGATTAAAAAGAGGAGGGGACTTTTTATTGGTTTCAGCAGTTCCTAAATACAGGGGTGGGCAAAGTAGGTTAAATTACCAACCACCATTACCTATAAATCATAAGTAGGATACAAAATAACAACAATAAAAAATAAGATAAATACCACGATAATAAATACTACAAGGAGAAACCCTTTCCTGTGCTCAGAGCTGTAAGCCCACTCCCGCCCCCCTGGACACCGAGCCTGCCCGGCTGCTTTCCACCATGGCAGCACCCGCTTTCCTGCGAGCGAAAATCGGGGGCTGCTCAAGCAGGGCTAATTTTTGTATTGCATTTCTGCATTGCCTTTCTGTTTGTAGGGCTTATTCAAAATTTGTGGTTTGTTCAATTTTGGTGGTTTGTTACAAATTACCTTCAAGTTAAAAAAAACTTATAGGACTCATCTACATTTTTGTATCATGTTACAGAAAACCAATGGCCAGTTTGTTTTTAAACATAATGCAGTCATCCTTGTAAACGTCACTGAAGTAGAAGAGCCTTATTCTGTTAAAAGTGAAAAAAGCCAGTCAGAGAAAGACAAATACCATATGATCTCACTTATACACGGAAACTAATGAACAAAATAAACTGACGAACAAAACAAAAACAGAGCCCTGGCTGGTTTGGCTCAGCGGTTAGAGCGTCGGCCTGTGGTCCAGAGAGACCCGGGTTCGATTCCCGCTAAGGGCACGTACCTCGGATGCAGTTTGTCCCCGGCCCTGGTTGGGTCGTGCGGAAGGCAGCCACTCGATGTGTCCCTTTCTCATCGATGTTTCTCTCTCTCTCTCTTCCTCTCCCTCCCTCCCACTCTGTCTGAACAAAAAATAGAAAAATGTCCTCAGGTGAGGATAAAAAAACAAAAACAGAAACAGGCATGGACACATGGAACAGACTGACAGCTGTTAGAGAAGAGGGGTGAGGGGGTACTGGATGAAAGAAGGTAAAGGGATCATCCAAAAACATATAATTAACACAGGTACACAGACAACAGTGTGGTGATAGGGAGAGGGGGTGGGCTATGTGGAGGTGGGCAAAGGGGGGAATGGGGATGGAATGAGACTTTGCTTGAGGTGATGTGCTCACAATGCAGTATACAGATGATGTTTTGAGTTGTACACTTGAAACCTGCACCGTTTTGCAAACCAATGTCATCCCAATTCAATTAAAACAACAAACAAACACAAAACAAAAAATGCAGCCCTCAAAATATAGCTGATTAGACAGTGATTACTTTCACATGTAAATTAGGAAATAAAAGCTAACCTTGTAGTGGTCCATACACTCAGCCCGAGGAATGTTAGGACTTTTTCCCATAAGATAAAGAAACTGAACCACTACTAGACACCCCTTCCTCCCTCGATGGTTTGTAGCATGAAGTCAATACAATAAGTACCTCACTACTTATATAAGAGCCTTGGGGAAGAAGGGGAAGGTAAGCCAGATTAGAGATGTGGTAGTAGGATGTGCAGCCTTACAAGAGAGCTACAACCTAGTGAGTGAACAAATAGCTGCAGTTATTACCTCTTTCTTTGGGACGATACCCTGAAATCGAACCCTTTTAACTGTCTTTCAGCAAGACGCTATGGACTGAAGAAGCTGTGATCACAACTTCCCCGAGGAAAAAAATGCCTCGACCATGACAGGACGAAGGATGAGAAGCAGGAGAAATTGATGCCTGTTTTTCTCTCTTCCCTTGTCATTAAACCCAATACATAAATGTCTTCTTTTTTTACTTGCCAAGTGATACAAAAGTTTCACAGAGAAACATACTAAGACAAAAAGATAAATAAGTAAATAAAAATAACAAAGCCATGCAACAGGGGTATCCTTAATATAAAAAGGGGAAAAAAGATTTCATATAATTATGTGCTCTCACTTGTACTTAAAAGATAAAGTACTGATCTAACATGACCACATCTATCAAAAGTTCTAGCCCTGCCCTGGCCGGTTTGGCTCAGCGGTTAGAGCGTCGGCCTGTGGTCCGGAGAGACCCGGGTTCGGTTACTGCTAAGGGCATGTACTTCGGTTGCAGTTTGTCCCCAGCTCTGGTTGGTCGTGCGGGTGGCAGCCACTCGATGTGTCCCTTTCATGTCGATGTTTCTCTCTCTCTCTCCCACCCACTCTATCTGTACAAAAAATGGAAAAATGTCCTCGGGTGAGGATAAAAAGTTCTAGCCCTATAAAGGTTGTCACTTTTAACAACTGCCACCAGAGTAGAGGTGGCCTACTCTTGCCTGATTGCACATATGTGTACACACACACCACTTTCAGCGAGAGCAGAGCCTGCCCCATTTCTTGCCCCAAAGTTATATTGATTTTAAAATGGTGTTTTCACTCACCCCTATACTCTCTTACACTTAAATTGTTGAAAAGTCTTACTGAAATTAATGAAGTTTCTTCGTTTTCACTTCTCCAGTTGGGTACACTGAGGGTACTTGTGGGAATAAGCTCTGAGGGCCCAGACGGTTCCTTCAGGTGTTGGAGGTAGTCATAGTCATCATCAAAGAACACACCATACTTCCTCTGTTCTGCTCGTCTCTCTTCAGCATTTATCTAGGATAATAACCAAAATGGAACTAGTACCTCTTTCAATGTTAGGGCACAGGGAACCTTCCAATGAGACAGCTTTTAGAATAGACAACAGATGGCACATGGACACTGACTGATAGGAATGAGACAACAAATTCTTGACAAATTCAGGAAACACAGAGCACCTGAACCATTGTGCCATATACAATTATAATGGAATAAAATTGTCCTCCATTCACTAGACATTCTGTGCAACAATGCAAGCCAAGAAACACACACACACACACACACACACACACACACACACACACACAATTTGTTTTATCATATACTTAGAGGGTTAGGGAAAAAGACCAGGGAGCCTTGAAAGGTTAAGTACAATTTCTTGTATTTATATGCAAAGAAACAATGTACAACACAAACTGGCTTTACTGAAAAGCTAAACAGGCCCAATGTTCCCCAAAACACTTCCTTTCACATTATGCACACATAACAAGTATACTGACTGATAATGATCAAATCAACCTTTTAAAGGCTCCCTGGCATTTTCTAAAGCTAACTTATGAATGTTTAATGTTTTACATTTCATGAGATGAGTGACCAGGAGGCAAAATCAGTTTGTGGTTATGAAGTGGAAGGACTCTGGAGAAAGCAGAGATTGAGCATTTGGTTGTGCCCTAAATAACATCATGCAGTATTGTAGCTGATGGCTTAGTAAATATTTATAATTACTCTATAGGACTTGCTCATTGAAACAGCACAAATAAAGATGCTTTATCCTCTCAATGAAGATGAATATGCATGATATAAAAACCAGCACATTTACTGATAATTAAGTCACAGATTTTGTTTCCCTGAAGATCAGTTAACTGAAAAGAGCAGCTGGCTAAAACAATGTATTAAAAAATACCGACAGTCCACCTACAAACTCAATGGCCAAAGAACAACACCTACTTTCTGTGCAGGCAACAGAACCCTCTGGGGTGCAGTCTCATCTGCTGCTAAAGGATCTCGTTGGCTCCGATGGACCAGGTGGAAAGACACCGCTTTCTTCTTTTCTATAAAGGGCTTTTTCTTCCTGTGAGGCTTTAAAGGACAGAATCAGAACAAGCCATGAAAACAAAACCAAAACACCAGTGAATAGTCTCATAGTCCATGTAGGTATCTTCAATAAGTTATGTGAAGGATGAACAGATTTTCTGAAACCTCCCCTTCTAGGCCAGGCAACATCAACTATGTTTTATCAGCTCCATACTTACCTTGCTCCAACAAACATTTGTTGGCACCTACTCTGTAGGCAAACCTCGTTATGGGGCGCTGGGGACACAGCAGTTGGGAGTCAGACAAGTCCCTATTCTTCTCAAGCAAAGTTTCAAAAAAAAAAAAAAATGGTTTCGGGTAAGGAAGACAAAACAAAACACAGTGTTGGGCACATGACTTAAGAGCTACTTTGGGTGCCCAGAGAGGATCTCTGACAGGTTGAACTAGAATGACAATTAGACTGCCACAAGAAAATGTGGGGAAGGCAGTTGTGAGTGGGGTACGCACCTCGTGTACCAACTGTTAACGTGAAACCACGGCACAACAGCTGAAGTTCAGTAAGATCATCATTCTTTTACACATCTTTATTTCGCTATCTAACCCTGACTTTCTAAACTGAGAAAGCATCATCTCAGCTGAGTGGGCCACCTTGCTTTGGGCCGAACCTTAGACTCTCCCACAAGTTCCCTTCCCCAGAGCAAACTGATGGGCAGACACACCCCTTTCAGCCGACCCCTTAAGCAGAGGGTGGTACATCTGTGCCCTGTGTCACAAGGTTTTCGGGCCCTTCAGGGCAGAGGGGAGGCCAATCTCTAACGTCCATTTCCCAGGGAGGTCTTGGCCGTAAGACACCCATTCTAAACTTGAAAGTGTGCGGGTGACCCACACCCGGACCCTGCGCTGCGAGCCGCCTCCCCACACCTTCGGACCAGCCCCCCAGGCTCAGGCCGCAGTGGCCACTGGCACTAAGGGAACCAGCCTGGCTTCTGCAAACCCGGAGAGCCCCGCCCCTAGACAACCGGGCTCGCTCACCATGCTGCCTGGGCACGGCACTCACACCAAACAGCGGCGACGACACTCTCCGATTCCCGAGGAGGTGACAGGCTAAGTCGGGACGCCGGCAAGGACCGGCTCCCGGAAGCGTGAACACACTCACATGCAAAGCCGGGACCCGGACCGGAAGTCCTGGAGCAGGCCAGGGAAATGGGCCAATCGCCGAGGAGCTGAAGTATCGCGACCGGTAGTTACGCAGAGCTCGCTCCGTCCGAAAGATCGCGAGAAGCTCTCGAGCGGTGGGTTGTTCCCACCCCCCCGGGGGCGGGGCTTTTCCGGCCAAAAGTAAGCCAGTGTGGGGGGAGGGAATCGCAGGCGCCTCTGTGGCGGGGAGGTGCCCAGGGGGATGCTGTTTTGGGGGGAGCTTGCTTTTATAGCGCCCTCTGCCGCGGATAGAGATGACGAATCTAGCGTCTCCACTGACACTTGTGTTCCCTGTCTGTTTCCAACCATCACAAAGCAAAACAAAAAACCGTGAGCTCGGAAGGTAGCCACCTTCCCGAGTGCCCGAGGTTTCAGATTCCCGCTCTTTTGGGCTGGCGCGGAGTCGGTTGCCTTAGCAACAGAGGATCCCGGGGCCTTGCTATTCTAGGCTGTACCAGGCTTAACCAAGTCTTTATTTTACACTATTTAATGAACTACGTTAAAACGTTCAGTTAATCAGACCCCCAAGACTATCGACAATGGAGGCATTTGAATTAATACAATATATTCATAATCTCGGGTATTTGCAAACTTTATAAAGTGGAAACATTAGTTTATTCTCTCCCAATTCCTTCCTCAAATTTTCCAACGTGGTTTAAGCAAACAGGCTAGAAGCTCGCCCAGGAGGATTTCAGCCAGGTGCTGGAGCATTCGGAGCTTTTCCTGGGCTAGAAGGGGTGGTAATGCATTCAGTTTTGTCGGCAGACCTTTTCTCAAATTTGTGTTTCCCCTTCCCAATTTCTGGAGTGTTTCCGATGTTTGAGTTATCTTGGATAGCATCTCTATATCCTATTACCATTATAAATATTTATGGAATATTATTCTTGCATTGCAATAAAAATTATAGAAACAGTTTAGATTAGGACCACAGAAGTCGTGAGAAAATGCTTTGTAACAGAAATAATACATAGTACACTTCTATGTGCCAGATATTCGTTATAATTAATCTGCATGAGGGCAGGTTTAATTTTGATTTTCTGTTTTATTTACTACTTTGTCTATTCTCAGGGCCTAGACTAGTGCCTGGCACATATACTTAATAAATGCTATTTAGGGGTGGGGAACCTTTTTTCTGCCAAGGGCCATTGGATATTTATAACATCATTCAAGGGTCATACAAAATTATCAACTTAAAAATTAGCCTGCTATATTTGGTCAGGCAAATTTGGTGAGGTGTGTGATGTTAGCTGGTATTGATTTCCAGTACAGGCCTGAAGACCAGCCATTCCCCACCCCTGGATGAATTGACGGTACTTTACCTGACCTATTTCATGCCTTCCTTACCACAACACTGTGAGAGGGGTGCTATTATCTCTTTATTATTTTACAAATTCTAAAACTCAGGCATAAGATAGTTAAGTAACTTTCTCAAGGACACACAGCTAGTCAAATGGCAGAGCAAGGATTTAAACTCAAGTCTAACTAGAGGCTGGCCACTTAACCACATTGCTTGCTTTTTTTTTTAAGCAATATTCTATTTTTATCTATCTATCTATCTACACACACACACACACACACATTTAATACTAACACTAAACACAGTGTGCTGCACTTTTTACTCATTATGTCATTCAATTCCATTGATAAGCCTGTAAAGTATAGATAACACTAAAACTATCTTATAGATGTAGAGTCTGAGGTTCAGAGAATTGAAGTGACTTGCCCAAGGTCACACTGTAAGTGGAAGAGCCTAGATGTGCAGCCCACCAGTCTGGTTGAGAAAGGCCATACTCTTAACCATATGCTACTCACCTCACTAAGGTAGTCAGCCAGCAATTTCTGTCCATTCTGCCTTCTAAATATCCAAATGTATCACTTCGTTACCCCATTTATCAAATTGATCAATTTTAATACTCTAATGCAATCATGTAATTTTCTGTATAAAACTTTCAATATCTACCCTCTGGCCTCAGGATAAAGTCCAAACTCTACTGCAATGACAGTCAAGACTATATCATCTGATCTCCACCCATCAATTTAGCATCTTGTCCCCTTACTGCTCCACATACCACTCTATGACCCAGCCCTATCAAACTGTTCGTAGTTCTCAAATGTACCTAAAAGAGATTGACTTTCTCATGCCCATCTAAAAGGCTCTTCCCCTTCACTCTCTATTCAAGTTAGCTTCGTTATTTCTGCCACTAGGTATACCTTGAGGATAATGTGAGTTCGGTTCTAGACCACTGTAACAAAGTGAGTGTTGCAATAAAATAAGTTGTAATCTTTTTGTTGGTGGAGTATCTTGCCTTTGATTTGTAAAAAATGCAACACTGCTGAAGTGCAATAAAGCAAAGTGCAATAAAAAGGTATACCTACATTAGTCAAAACTAGGGCCCATCTCAAATGTTCTCACTGTGTCCTGTGATTACACTATTCCACTCAGTTACTCTAAATTGTAAACCCTTATTATTTTCATGTTTTAGAACCAGACTGCAAGAACCTACTTGAGGGCAAGGAATTTTGTCTTGCCAACTTTACTTCCCCAGGGCATAGTATAGTAAAGACTCAGTAATAATTACATTGTTCAAGTACTTTACATTTACTCATTAAATTCCTACACAAGGATTTAAGGAGATACACTATTATTATCCTTTTATTTTACAGATTTGAGATTGAGGAACAGAAAGTCAAGTGATTTTTGCCCCAAACGTGAAGCCAAAATGCGAACCCAGATGTAGCTAGAGAATCGCACCCTTAACCATCACGATACACTTCATTACGAAAAGCCAACACATAGGATGAGCTTGCAGGTGTCGGAGACTGTTCTGGGTTCTGTATCTATATTAGATCATTTAGTACTTTTTGAATACCATATCTAGCACAATGCATTCATTAAAATGGTTCTATACAAAACTCTGGCTTGTCTTAACATAATGTTATTTCCTGCCATTAAAATGTTATTTCCTACCATTAAATCACCCAGAACTGAAATGCTGTAGCAATGATAATAAATCCAACTACACTTCTACTCTCTTATTAGTATGCTGTAACTAATGGCATCTATTCCAAAGTGAATAAACAGAATTTCTAGCTTAGTTTAGGCTTTAAAAATGTTCTTATCTTTTCCAGCTGAAATCAGCTTGCCTATTGAAATTGTATTTATCATCTTAGCCCTGATTACATCACACTCAGCAGGGGGAGGGGTCTTCATCAGCATCACTCAAGGATCCCAAAGCATCAGGAAACCAATGTACCCCAAACTGGAGGAAATTAGCTACACCCTGAAACAGTAACTTTAGGAATTATAAATTACATGCTTGACAATATTAATAGAGCTTATGGGGGGTACTTAATTTATAAAAAGGGGAGGTGATCAAGATGGATGTAACAGGATGGTCAGTGTAGCTCTATTTGTAATAGAGAAAATAATTGAAATTCCATTAGTAAAGAAATAATAGAAAACACCACTACCACCACCACAAACATTTATACTGTTCTAAGGAGAGGCATATTGATATTGACAGCCACTTAGTAAGTTGGGGGAGAAAAAGTAGGCTGCAGAACAACATAGTACATGGCACTTTTTGCTAAAAAATATATAAATAGAAAATTATTTTACACAGAAATATCATAGTGCAAGCACAGAAAAGTATCTAGTTGACTATGTACCAAACTGGCCACAGCAATTATCCATGAGGATCTGGGGTTGCAGGAAGCTCTCAATTTCTATCTGAGATATTTATTCATTATTTACATGTTTGCAATGACAATTTTAAGTATTTCATTTGTATAAAAAAAAAGTAAAGATACTTAAAGACAAAAATCAAAGAGGGGGCAGGTTAGATACTAATATAATATGCTTCAATAAATATCGTTAAAGAATATTTTTTAAATGGTAAAATCATGACACATACATATTGAGCACATGTTCAAGATTTTATTTAACACATCATTAGGAGAGAACTGATAAGATGTTTTAATTAGTTCTGAAGGCAATCAGAAGAACAGAAACATTCCTAGAGCAGGAATATTGAAAAGAATGTGCAAATGGAGACAAAATTGGCTTCTTTCCCAAGGATCAAGGGAAGAAAATTGACCCTCCACTGGACAGAATTTGTGTACATGCGTAGAGACAAGAATTGTGTTCAGTGCTGTCAATTTTCCACAAATTACAAAACTGTACGATAGCTCAAAGGCAAGGAAAGGTGCAAAGCCCACATAAAGTCAGAATTGGGAGTGCTTATCTAAAAAGTGCATCACTTTTCACTGAAGCACAAATGTTTCCCTATAATATTAAATAATAACAGTAGTATGCTTGGCATGCTAACTGGAATTAGTTTCTGGTGTTTGCTTCACTCTCATTGTATAACCTGGGGCAAGGGGGCTTCCATTATTCACCTCAATGTAAAATAGGAATGATAATGTTATTAATACTCATCTCATAGGGTTTTGTTGAATTAAATGAGAAATTGTGTGTTAGATGCTTGGATCTGTGCCTAGTTGGTGGTCAGAGCTCAATGGAAGTGAGTGATTGTCCTCTTCCCAGCTAAGGGTACTTATTCACCTAACTTCATTGTTGCCTCAGCATGGCCATCCCCTGAAACCAGGGCCTCCTCCAACATCTGGGATTTGTCAGGAAAAACATGTTTTGCCTCAAGTCGGGTTCTCATAATGGGAATCTGCTAGCTTGCATCTAGATCCTGCTTTCAGCTTTCTAGGATCCCAATCCTTTTGTTTCCCCTCAATTCCTGGTGCCTTTCAGGTCGTTTATACTGCATACTTAGAGTCTCTTACTTGCTTCTAGCCCCTATATTGTATGTTCTTTAAATCTCTTTTTAACTACACAAGCTCTTGCTGTTGGTTGGCTTTCTGTTTACTGGCTCCTGTTGTTAGAGTCAAAAGTACGTGTTTCATTGGTGAATGCTCTTTGGAAACATTAATCCAAATTAATTTTCTTTACCATGCT